ATCTTGATATTAGAGGACTGATTTACATCTTGGTATCAGAGCAGGTTTAGTTCCTCTTCCTTCTTTTTCTTTGTTCCTGTACACTCTAAAATCAAGAGAGTGTATGGAGAGATAGGTTCTCTATAGTATAGAGAATCASTTGCCTAGTTGGTAGAAGGGTTTGGAGAGTTTAGTTTTGGCTAGATTTTGCCAAGAAGTGATGTTGTTTTGCTGTTGCCCAAAACCCTAGCCGACTAGAGATTATTGAGGTTACTAGGAAAGGTGAAGCTTGGGTGTGGTGTTCTGTGCTTGGGAGGTGTCTTGTGACTGCTAAAGGAGGGCGGTTCAGGTTTGGAAGAGTTTGGGTTAGTCTGGTGGGTGCGGTAGTGTCTTCTCTCTTCCTCCCATCTACTGGATGGAGCAAAACCCTAGTTTTTCAAGCACCCAAGTTTTGGTTTGATTTCAAGTAAGTTTACATAGTCAAAATTTTCTGTTCTTTGATTAATGGAGGCATACGGAAGTGAGTTCAAGCAGGTGCCGGTTTCTGGACCTGCTTCAGTAGATTCCGTTTTGACCGGTGTTACCACAATTAAGCTAGATGGGACGAACTATCTTGCTTGAGCACAATCTATAAAAATCTATGTTTGTAGTAGAGGAAAACTTGGGTGTCTCACAGGCAGCAAGGTGAAACCTGAAGAGACAGACCCTGAATTTGAAAGATGGATGCAAGAGAACTATACTGTTATAGGATGGTTAGTCAACTCTATGCAACCCCATATAAGCTAACACTATCTCTGGATGTCTTCGGCTAAGGAGATATGGGACAGTGTAACTGAGACCTATTCATAGAAATTAAATGTAGCCAGAGCATACAAATTGAAAAGTGATGTGAAGAACTTGAGACAGGGGGAGAAGAGTGTGGCAATCTACTACTCTATACTAAAATCCATATGGTAGGAAATTGATGTTATGGAGAGAGTGGTGTGGGAGAGTAAAAAGGATGCTGAAATGTATAGAAAGTTAGTGGAGAGAAATAGGGTGTTTGAGTTTCTCATTGGACTCAACCCTGAGTTTGATATTATCAGACAAAACATTTTGGCCAGGGATGAGGTTACTCTTTCATAGGCATATGCTATGATAAGTAGTGAGGAGAGTAGGCGGCAGGTGCAGTTGCAGAGTCCATTTACAGAACATTTTGCACATGCGGGAATGAAACTGATGGGCCCTACTGAGAAAAGAGAGCAGGTGTGTGAATATTGCAAGAAACCACGGCATACAAAGGACACCTGTTGGAAGCTTCATCCTGAACTTCTTCCTGAAAGGTTTAAGAACAATAATAACCCTAAGAAGGGCAGTCAGGTGGGAAAATCCAAGACTGCTAATGCTGCTACAGTGCCTGAAGGGGGAAAGTAAGGAAAGCGAAGAAAAATCAACTATTGAGCAGTTGGCTGCAATGAAGCTGGATTATGAGAAGTATGGGAGGCTACAGTTTCTTCAACTCACCCTTCCAACAGTACATCATCTTCATCGGCTTTTGCTCACTTAGGTACTCGTGCTTCTGCGAATCATGCTTCAGCTTCA